AAGCTGATGTACAGGATGAAGCAGTTTCTGAAGCATCTGAAGCTGCCGCAACTGACATTCCCGAACCTGTAACTTCGACAGCCATACCAGAGTTTATTCCGCTTGCAGATGCTGACCCGGATGACGTTCGCGAAGTTCGTCTCAGTTACGAACGCGATCGCCAACAACAGCCGATGCCCGCCGTCTCTGACGAAGCAGTTCGTGTTACACCTCACGAAATTGGGGGGGAAGAAGGAGCAGAAGAAAATTTCGCAGGTGCAAAGGAAGAACGTCCGCGTTTTACAGAAACAGGATTGCAGATACTGGGATTTGCAGTAGCAGTACAGTGCAACGACAGTAAGATACCTGAACCGAAAACCGTCCGACAAGCTCTTACGAGTCCTCACCGAGAGAAATGGCGCGAAGCCATGGACAGAGAGCTAGCAGCTCTCAAGAATCGCGGAACATGGGATTTAATACCGACTTCAGAAGTAAAAGGGAAGAAGGTACTTACCGGAAAATGGGTTTTTCGCGTCAAGACAAATTCAGATGGGTCGTTTGAAAAGTTCAAAGCGCGATGGGTCATCCGCGGATTCGAGCAGACTTACGGCATCGACTATGAACTAACCTTTGCTCCTGTCGGGTGACATACAAGCGTTCGGATTCTTCTTTGTGTCGCCGCCTGCCGTAATCTACGTCTTCGCCAAATCGACATCTCGAATGCGTTTCTCTACGCGCTTGTCGACGCACTCATCCTTGTAGAGTACCCGCATTCTTATACTACTAACCCACCGAGCGTTTGCCGTCTCCGAAAATCTCTATACGGCATTAAACAGGCACCACGGCTCTGGCAGCATTATCTTCACTCGCAGCTGATCATTGCTGGATTTCGACAGTTACCGCATGATCAGGGAATGTATCTACTGACCGACGGCAGCAACTACATTTTACTCGTCGCCTACGTTGATGACATCCTATACGTCAGTACTACCAATTCCCTTGCCGAGACCTTCATACTGAAATTACAGGAAAATCTACAGCTTACCGTCTCCGAAACAGTCTCACAGTTTCTCGGACTGAACATTACCTGTTCACCGACAACTATTCATCTCACCGCTTCGAAGAATGCAGCAACACTCGCTGCCCGCTTCAACCTCACACCTACTGCAGTCTCTACACCGTACCGCTCACTACCGACTGACCACAAACCGAACACCGCACTGTTGACTTCAACCGGTTTACAGATCTATCAACAGCAGCTAGGCTGTCTACTTTTCGCCGCTGTCACTTGTCGTCCTGATCTAGCCTATGTGGCCAGTCAGCTCGCACAGTTCCTACGCCGTCCTGAGGAAGAGCATCAGCTTGATCTTCTCCGCGCGCTTCAATATTTTATCTCGACACCTGACGTCGGATTAGTCTACAACGTCATCGGTTGTAAAACACTCTATCGACACGATTTTGTCGACGCCGATCACGCTGCTGATTCTACTAATCGACGGTCACGCACTGGGTTCATCTATTGACTGGAACTTGTCGGACCTATCTCTAAGAATTCTACGAAGCAGGAGCTGATTGCACTCTCCGCTGCTGAAGCTGAGTTTATTGCTGTCTGCACAGCAACACGTGAAGGACTTTACTTACAGGAACTATTGGAAGAAGCGAAGTTGACGACAACTACCCAGTTTACCCTACAGTGCGACAACCAAATTGCAATTCGCATCGCACATCAGCCTGGTTTCGTCAACAGAACGAAGCATATTTCGCTTCGTTATTTTTTCGTCAAAGATGAAGTCGAGAAGGGGAGGATGCGATTGGTGTACTGTTCGACCAACGAAATGGCTGCCGATTTTCTTACGAAGAAGCTGACACGACAGAAGTTTCAGTACTGTAACAAGCTCTGCGGAATCTTCAAGAAGTGACACTATCGAACTTCCATAAATGAAGGGGAGTGTTGTGATATAATTGATACTTAGCATTTCTGTAAGTCGATTATGTGTAGTTAGTGTCGAATTATACTGTAGAAGATAAGTCCGTAGGATGACGTCAGCAAATAACGCTCGTCATAGGACAGTCGTTTCAGTCACGCGAACAGTCGCTTCCCTTCATTATCATCTAGGACGCATAGCGCGATAGTGACGAACAGGTTCATTAGCGAATAGGTACTTTTCGTAGAACTATAAATCTCTGTTAGGTCTTTTTCATTATTAACTTTGATTACTCACAAGTTCACGTACTCAGGTTATTCAACCTTGACCTTTACATTTTACAAGACTTCCGCTGTCTTACTAGTCTACCATTCCAGCAAAGATCCTGGACCAACACTTGAGGATTTGCCAAGTGTTCGCATTTATAGTTTTATACTTAGTCTCTTACAACATCAGACGATTTATTTCATGTACTATGTCCTAAGGTTCGACATTGAGCGTCGTAAGGGTTCCGTTGCAAGGGAAAGATTTGGTAGTTGGATAAACTTATTTGATTAACTTATGAAAGATGGTTGTTAGAGATATGCATAAGCATAGCTTGTTCAATAGTGAGGTATTTGTAAGATCTCGAGATGACACCCTAAAACTAATGACACCCCTCATGTTAGGCATCCTTCACCAATAGTGAGGTATTCGTAAGAAAGGTTGTAAGGATATACAGTGACGGAAAAAACTGTCCGGATGTTTGGCATTAATTAGGTTTTTTAGGCTTTTCGACCACGGTACATAAAGTCTTAATGTTTAATGGTGGTACGCTTTTGGAGGGGCACATAGTGGATGTGTTCACAGCACTTACGTCCATAGTAGTACACTGCATCTAACTTAGTGCCAAAAGTTATACAAGGGGGTCATCCGGACAGTTTTTTCCCAGAACAAAGCGTAAACTTCCGAACAGGTTTCTAGTACCTAGTACACCGACCCTTGGCCTTGATCACCACCCGCACCCTCCTAGGCATGTTATCTACGAGGTTAGTGCAAATCGTTGTAGAGATCTTCTCGCACTCTTGGGCCACGATAATGCACAACCACCACAACGAGGAGGGCTTCTACCAGGGACTGACGAGCTACCTTGGCAACACGGAGTCAAGCAGGTAAGTCGGGCCTCCAAAGCACGCTGCTCTGTCTACCTGTATATGAATGTTTTTGCCAGTTTGACCACCATGCCTGTCTATGTTTGTATCTACTTCTATTGTTCCTTGCCCACCATGCTTGTAGTTTATAATTAATTCTATTGTTCCACGCCTCTTACGTGTGGTTGTTCCATAAACAGGCGCTGGCCCAACCTCATGCTTCTCTGGCAAGCATGCGCGGTGTTACCATTCTCAACTGTGGAGTGCGAGCGTGGTTTTTCCAGGCAGAACGTGATCAAGTATTGGGTCCGTGGTGCTCTGTGCAATGCCCGCCTGGGTGAGCTGATGATGATTTCGCTGCTGAGATACGACATCAACTGGCAGGAGGCGCTGGAGCTGTGGCACGCAAAGAAGAGAAGACCAGCGAAGTCGGTGGTGTTCGCATCACAAGAGAGGAAGCGCAAAGGCAAGGCTCTGTTGGAAGAGGCAGAGCAGGATTCTCCAGTGCCAGACTACTTAGGAGAGGATTGGGATGAGGAGGAGGAGGAGGAGGAGGAGGAGGAGGAGGAGGAGGAGGAGGAGGAGGAGGAGGAGGAGGAGGAGGAGGAGGAGGAGGAGGAGGAGGAGGAGGAGGAGGGGGAGAGGGATGGTGGACTTGCAGTAGCTAGAGAAGACAACCCCTTTCTGTCGGATGATAAGGCGGAGGATGTCGTCCCTGTGGATGTGCCAGAGCTCTAGCTAGGCTAGGAAATTATACTAGGTGCTGATTAACTGCCCGAATGTTATAAAATAATGGTGAGTAAATGGTGAAATCACGACTCTGATTAATAATTGCGAACCCTGAAGAAATCAGACTTGAGAGTCACCGGATCCTGAGAAATCAGACTACCATGGAATCTAAAACCTGGCTATTCAGACTTCGGAATTTTTTTTTGGGCGAAAATCAGAGTGGGTTTTTTTGAAACGTCAGCCCTGGTACGGGGCCAGGAGAACGCTAACAGGCTGGCGGGACGCTAAGGGGCCGGCGGGGCGCTAAGGGCAGCGGCTAGGACTAGGCCTAAGGCGGAAGCGCGGGTGGGCGGGAGGGACCTAACCTAGCGTGATACCATGTTAACGTGAGAATGTATGACTAGAATGAGGTGGTACAAGGGGATTTAACCGAAGGGTTTGAACTCTATATAAGCATGCACCTAGCTAGCCTATAACATATACAAATTATATGTTGACAGTCTCCTGACGAGCCGCATGCATTGTTGCCCACCTTGCTGTTGCATGCCTAGATCTGGGCGCTTCGCGCCAATTAAGAACCACACGTCGCAGCTCTGCCAAGCCACGAATGTGTGCTCCTAGGCTAGCTATATCCATGCTCCATGCTGTTTTGATGTTGCTGAGTTGTATTATTTTCCTCGCTAATCAATCCTTGGACACACGCTCTTTGCGCTACATTACAAAGGCATAGCTTTCTGCGTGCGCGCTGTAGCGTGGCTCATCAAAGAATTTGCGAAACGTTTTCGAAAATGCCCGTTTCGGTCTGGTTCCTTGTGTGGGGAAACTTATGCCAGTTGAGGTGGCAGGGCATGGCTTTGGGGAAATCATTAGTCTACCTAACCAACCAAGCCCTCGGATCAAAGGGGTTGTACTGTAATCATTTAGGGTCCTGGTCGGTATTGTGAAAGTAGGCTCGGAATCAGCTTAAAGCCAAGCAATCATTTTAATCACTCTGAGCCTCCTGGGATTCGGGTTTGTACTGATCACCAGACTAGGGAAGGCTGGAATTCGGAACGCGGAAAGTGCACCTGCCTGCGGATGCGGGCAAAATATTTCCAACCGATGGTCGATGTGAATTCCACCTTTCTAGCAAGAAGGGGAATGCAACCCAACTTCCCGCACTACCTAACCTGGCGAGTCAACGAAGGGAATGCGGAAAGCTTGCAGCGGCTGCCGAATTCCCTATTCCAATTCTAGAATGACATTGTGCCGATCAGGGCCTAGCTCTAGCTCTGTGCCATGCCGAGCCAACGCGTCGTTGGGAGTGCGCTCCGAGTTGCTGTTATGAAAACCCTTCCTAAGTGAGCAGCCAGTTATGTTCCAACTGCAGTCGGCTTCAAAGGTGATTTGACGTTGTGATAATGGCTAAGCTCGGAAGCAGTGTCGCATGGACCCTTCTACTCCTGTGGGCCGTCGTTTCAACCACCATAGCCGCCACTGCAATCTCCCTTCTCTTAGTTCAAAGCCCCGCAGGCTTTTACGTCCAGCCAGAAGCAGAAGAGCTTCCCAAAGAGTACCCGCGTAGCCATCTCAAAGCCCCGGCATCGGCGGGCAAATGCACCAACTGGATTGCGAAGCCTCCAAGCGGATGGGGTGTCCAGAATCCATGGACTTCCGTAAAGGTAACGACGGACGCCCGGTCCGCTTTTACTTTCCGTCGAGCCCATCGCTGCAGATGGAGTCTATGGTGGTCTGCGCGATAGTTTACGGCGAGGGTCCTTTCGCTCGTCAATAAGCTTGTCTTCCCCACATTCCGAAAGCATTCCGCTCTCTCCTCGCGCACCCCCTTGTGCAATGCAGTACTTTTCTCGAATCTCTCCATGCCCTGTAGCGGGTCTGCCTATAGAGGAGCTGGACATGCACCTTAACTTCCGCCGCGCGTATTCCCTCGGCTTCGAGCACGACGTGGAGGACAAGACGCAGGTGCTGCCCACCATGCGCGCCGTGCTCGACCCCTCCATGAACGCCAGGTGACTATTCTCGAGCAGCCTAGCGAATGCTCGAAATGCTTTCCCCCGCTACGAACGCCGCATGAGCCCCGCGATCTGCGGAGGCTTGACCCGAACGTGGATGCAACCGTCGGTGTGATTCCTAAGCGCACGGCGTGCAAAGGAAACTGTTGCGCATAAGGTCCCCAAGTGCTTTTGGTTCGTTGAAGAGCTTTCGTGGATGAACAACGCGTGAGCATCGTCGACTTGCTGGCGTCGGGCAGTATTGATCCCTGGGGAGAATCATGTTGATGGCGCCCGCGCGCCACTTCGCATTCCGCGGGCCACTTCACATTCCGCGCGATGGCCATCACAAACTACTCGTGCCTCTCGCGTTTTCTCCCCCCACCGCGTTCCTGCAGGAAACGGCGTGTGCTGATCGACCTGGGCGCGAAGAGCTTCGGCACGAGCGTGGCGTGGTTCCTGCACATGTACCCGCTGGACTTCACGGAGGTGCACGCCGTCGAGGTCAAACCCACCGTCTTCCAACCGCCCGCTGGCCTCAAGGAGGTTCGCCCTGCATAGCACCCTGCGCCCTGTGGTTTCCACCCCTCGCCCCCGCGTGTCCCCCTGGTGCCCCCCGCATGTCCCGTCATCGCTTGTCTCGTTGCTGCGTCCGTGTTGGAGGAGCACTGGGATTGGCCTGATGGTCCTGGGAAAGGTCTACAACCACGACGGCCAGGGTTGTTGTGGGCGCGCTCAACCGCTGCATAACACGCCCTTTTAACTCAGTGGTTAGCGACTGAGCCGTTCCAACAGTCCGCGCCCATCCTTTCCTCTCCCCCGTTTCCTGGCATCTCTCCTTCGGAACCGAAATGCAACCCAATCATCGCGAGCTAGCTGATTCCTGCGGTCTGCCCGCTGCTTGCAATGCCGATTTCAGCATGCTATGATGATCCGTCCATACTTACTGCGCGTGCGTTTCCCCCAAAACCCGCACCACCAACAACACCACCCTCCCCCGGACCTGTGGCAGCTGAACAGCATGGCGATGGACCGCAAGTCACACGTGCTGCAGGCCCGGAGCGACTTCTCAGCGTTCCCCGCGTGGCTCATTAAACGTGTACATGCATATAACTTTTTCGTCTCCACAGCAGACAACCCGGAGCAGGTAGGCACGCCTTATATGGCGGATGAGGTCAGGTTGCGCAGCTGCAAGAGAACGAAGGGCAGAGTCGCCGGCTATGTGCACCACAGTGGCGTGCCGTGTGCCATGTGCCATGTCTTGTGTTGCATGCCATGTGCCATGTCTTGTGTTGCATGCCATGTGTCATGTGCCATTTGTCCGCCACGTGTCATGGCCCTGATCCCCTCTCCTCGCCTATCTCGTGCGTGCGGCCGTGGCATGGCAGAACACAGTGAACGCCACGCGGTGGCTGCTGGAGGAGCTGAAGCTGACGGCGGGCGACAGCGTGGTGGTGAAGATGGACATAGAGACCTCGGAGTGGGGCATCTTCGAAGGTGGGCGCACTGAGCTGGTCAGATAAAGGGTCGTGGATGGCACACCCCCCCCGAGGTAGTGAGATTGTCACAAAGGTATTCAGTACAGTATCTTCTGAGGCTTTGGGATGGACAAAGAGGGTCTAGTGTTTGCGGTATCAGGTATGGGGCAGTCAGTAGCTTCTGTCCCATGCTGTGAGTGAGTGTGCTATGAGCAGGCTGCTCCAACTGCCCTAGTGCAATTGTACCCTATGTGCATCCTGTGAGTAGGACCAGCATGGCACTGCTTGTGCCATCTCTGCGGTTTGCCAGTTTCGCGCATGGGTAGCTAGCTTCTGCTTGCCAGCAGGTTCTTTGCACAAAGGTGTTGTGTTGCAAAGAATAGCGATAGTGCAGTGTGCAGTGTGTAGTGTGCAGTGTGTAGTGTGCAGTGTGGAGGGTGCAGGGTGCAGGGTGCATCACTGCAAGATGCTCTCACCTGCTTAAAAACAGACCCCAGCCGCATCCCCTAATTCCCTCCCCTTCTATGCCTCTCTCCCATGCCCATGCTCCCCCCTCCTGTAACTCCAGAATGGCTAACAATGCCTGAGATGCCTAAGATTGTTGATGAGTTGTTTGTGGAGATACACTACAGCCATCCCTCCATGGCAGGTTTCAATTGGTCGAATTTCCCAAAAACACGGGAACAAGCCGGTGACATCTTCAACAGGTTAAGGGCTGCTGGTTTCTATGCACATGCATGGCCATAAGTGGGCCATGATTACTGTACATTGAGTACCAAAATCCCCCGAGGGAATATTGAGGGTTGTTCTAAGACTTAGGGTTTCGGGTTGAGGGTACATTGAATGTTCATGTGAGCTACGGAAGTTTTAGCCTTCCGTCATTTTGGCGTACCCGAGCCATCGGGCAATTCGCTGTAAGTTCTCATCACAAACCAGACCCCCTGTCTCAAACAAGCACTGTAGAGTGTCAGAACTCAGTCACGAACCACTGATTTAAGAGGGATTATTAAGCAGCAGGGTCTAAAATTGGTTTTGGGCCGCCCTTTGAAAACAGGGTCGCCCCACCAAAACACCCTGTCACACAGGGTACCTAAATCTGGTGTTGGGCTGAGAAATGCCCTTGGGATCTTTCCAGAGACTTAGTCCCAGTTGTAAAAGACTTGAGTAGTGCAGCGGAAGTTGAGTAGTTGAACCCTTGTACTAGTATATGAGAACAAGTGATTGATTAAAAGAAACAAGCATACAGCAATATATAGAAAGTAGGAAAGTAAGGCAGTTGTAGTATACAGTTAAAGGATCGGTTTCTCGAGTCGCACATCGACTCGATTGACGGTTCTGTTACCATCCTTGCAGTTGTAACGGTTAGTCGCAACCTCCGGTTGCGACTCTTCGTGTCCATTCGTGTTCTTTGTCCGCCCCTTCGTGTAACCTCCGTTGACTCGCGTACCCGTTATGACTTTCCTCAAGTGTAGTGTTTACACTTCAGAAACGCTTAAGTCTTTGAGATATTTCCAACACCCCCCTTCGTTTCTGGAGTGCTGACGTGTCCAGATTCGGCGACGTTTATCTGCCCGGTCAGTAGCATGCAGTGGTCGAACTTTGCTTTCGCCAGTTTCTTCGTCAGGTAGTCTGCGGCCATTTCTGTTGTAGGGCAGTAACTGAGTTGAAGTCTCCCCTTCGCGATTTCATCTTTGACGAAGAAGTATCGCAGGGCGATGTGCTTGGTTCGGTTGGCGAAGCCGTCTTTGTTCGCGATTTTGATCGCAGATTGGTTGTCGCAGAGGAGTGAGAAGACGGGCAGGGTCGCAATCTTGGCTTCCTCGAGCAACTCTCGCAGGTAAAGTCCTTCCTTGGTCGCAGAGCAGAGGGCGATATATTCTGCTTCAGCCGAAGATAGTGCGATTAGTTCCTGTTTGCTCGACTGCCAGGAGATAGTCCCGATGGGTTCCAGTCGGTAGATGTAGCCCGTTCTCGATCGTCGATTTTCCCTGTCTCCCGCGTGGTCGGCGTCGACGTTGTTAAATTATATATTGTTATATAATTGATAGGCTTGGTAGGTTGTTACTGAACCTTTCTGTAGAGGGTACAAACCCCTCCTTGTACTCCTCTCTCTTCCTAATCATACTCCCTTTTCTCTCGACACTCTCGCCTACTCTCCTAGCTAAAACCCCGCCGCCACAACCGTGGCGGCCTTGTTCCTACCTACTGCTTAGTTCATACTTTAACATGGTATCAGAGCTGGCCGTTTTCGGGTCTGCTCCCCACGCTTCCGCCATGTGCTACTTGTTTCCTGTCCGTCGCCGTGCCGCCGTGGCGGTCATGTCCTCCCTTCCCTGCTTTCGTGGTGGTGCCATGGAGCTGCCGTGGCAGCCCCGACGCGTGGCGTCATCGCCACACCGCTGCGACGGCATCGTGCTGCGGTCGCAGCGTCGTCGTCCCGCCACTGCATCGACGCCGCGCAGTGGCGACGTCGTTCTGTAGTGGCAGCGTCGCTCGGCGGCAGCCGGCCGCGCGACGTTCGTGGCGTCGCCACACCAGCCGCCCGCACGCCAACCTCAATCGTGAGGCTAGACCACGCCCCCCCCCCCCCCCCCGTCCCCTGTGTCCTGTTCCTCGCAGCCGACAGTTACCTCCCGCCGGCCGTCCCGTCGCCGAGGAGATCGGCCATGCCGCTGAGAGGGCGGGGGCCGCTGCAGTTGCCCCTGACGATTGAAGCTGCCGCCGCCGCCGCCGCTGTTGCCGCTGGCCTGTTGCCACCGCACGCCGCCGTCGTCGCCGCTCTTGTCAGTGCCGCCGCTGCAGCCATTGCCATCTCCCGGGCGGAAGCCCCACCCGGAGTCATCGCGCCTGCTGCTGGGAATGGGGGTGCTGGGCTAGGGGGTGTGGGTGTGGGTGTGTGTGGGCTTGTGACTACCAAGCCTAGGGGGTGGGTTAAATTATATATTGTTATATAATTGATAGGCTTGGTAGGTTGTTACTGAACCTTTCTGTAGAGGGTACAAACCCCTCCTTGTACTCCTATCTCTTCCTAATCATACTCCCTTTTCTCTCGACACTCTCGCCTACTCTCCTAGCTAAACCCCGCTGCCACAACCGTGGCTGCCTTGTTCCTACCTACTGCTTAGTTCATACTTTAACAGACGTATCCGAGTAGTTGTACGGACGATGTTGTTGCTTTACTGTAGGTCAGTCCGGTCGTCGACGTAGAGACGAAGTAGAGTAGTGCCCGATTTAATTCCTCGAGATCTTCTTGTTCCGGCTGTTTTAGATGCGTCGCTAGTTGGCTCGCGCTGTAGGATAGGTCAGGTCGACAGGTTACTGCTGCGAATAGTAGGCAGCCGAGCTTCTGCTGATACTCCTGGATTTGCTTCGCGGGGAGTTTTGCGGAGGTGTCGTTGTTGTTCCCGTAGCGGTAGGGAGTCGCGACTGTAGTTGGTGTTAGTCCGAACTTCTTTGCGACGACGCCTGCGTATTTTCCAGCATATAAGTAGAACGCCGAGTTGTCTTCGACGACGTTCAGACCCAGGTACTGGGTTACGGTGTCTGACACCGTGAGTGTCAAGTCCCTTTTTAGCTCCCCTTCGAACCAGGTGGCGATGTCAGTAGTGGAGCCGATGTAGAGCAGGTTGTCGACGTAGTAGATGAGTAGGATGATTTCCCTTCCTTTCTGTAGTCGGTACATGCCTTGGTCGTGCGGCAGTTGTAGGAATCCGATTCCGACGAGGCGACCGTGAAGGTGCTGCTGCCAAAGCCGCGGGGCTTGCTTGATCCCGCAAAGGGATTTTATCAGCTGGCATACTTTTGTGGGGTCGTCGATGAATCCGTGGGGCTGCTCGACGAAGATCTCAGCGTCCACAGGTGCGTACAGGAAAGCATTTGCGATGTCGATTTGGCGCAGTGATAGTTTCTTCGTGGCCGCGACGGCGAGTAGGATGCGCAAGGAGGTGTGACGGGAGACTGGGGCGAATGTTTCTGTGTAGTCGGTTCCGTATCGTTGATCGAAGCCTCGTACGACCCATCGAGCTTTGAATCGTTCGATGGAACCGTCCGCATTGGTCTTGATGCGGTACACCCACTTTCCCGAGAGGACGTTCTTCCCGTTGATGTTCGTTGCAGGTACCAACTTCCATGTATTTCGGTCTTGCAGAGCTTTTAGTTCCTTTTCCATCGCCTCCTTCCATTTCGCCTTATGTTCCCCCCCCAGAGCCTGTGACAGAGTCGTGGGCTCGCGCGGAGATGGAAGCGGCGGATGCTGGACGGAGACCCATAAGCCGAGGATTTGCAGTCCCGTGTGTCGAGGGGAATTTTCATTCCCGGAATAGGCTGCTTCGTCACCATCTTCTGGATCAGGTAAGAAGTTTGGGCCGATGCGTTATGAGACATTCGTGTCGACTGGGTGAGGTGTAACGCAACCTTGGTCAGCGAAGTGGTAAAAGGTGTCGAGGTTGTTGCTATCGAGAGGATTGTCGTCGTGGAGTGAGTCTGGCACGGCAGCTTCCGAAGCTCCAGGTACGTCTTCTTCTGCTGCGTCAACCTCGACAGCATGGTCAGCGAAGGAGCGAAGGCCTGCGACACCGTTGGTGGGGTCGTCTGTGTTGGCGACGTTGTCCAGGTAATGCTGCAGCGTCAGTCGTTCGTAGAAGATCACATCACATGATGCCACGGTATTTTTGTCTTGTATGTCGAGGATTTTCCATGCTTGAAAATGTTCGGCGATGCCGAGGTGTAGTCCCCATCGTGCTTGTTGAGTGAAGCGTCCTGCTCTGGCTGTGTGGGGTCTGTACTGTACCATGCAGCCGAAAACCCGAAGTAATTTTGTGCTGCCCCTTTTTCTTGTCCACAGCAGGTGCGGTGATGCGTTGTTGGGAAGCGATGACGAGGATAGCAGGTTGTGCAGGTGGACTGCATGGGTCATCGCGTCTGGCCACAGTGCGTTGGGCAGTCTCATCCCTAGGAGCAGCTTCCGCATCGTCGTCTGCAAGGTCTGGTTCATTCTTTCTGCGACCCCCTGCTGCTGGTGAGCGTAGGGCAGAAACACCAAGCGTCTGATTCCTCTTTCCGCCAAGTAGGTCCTGAAGCGTTGTGACTGGTATTCCAGTGCGCCGTCTGACTGGAAGCTTTTGAGCTTCGTTCCTGATTCTCGTTCAGCGATGGGAAGCCACGTCTTGAAGGCTTCGAAGGCTTGGTCTCTCGTCTTGAGGGGGTAGTGCCAGACATATCTTGTTGCTGCATCGATGAACGTTATGACATAGTTGAAGTCGGCTTCAGTGTCGTCTCGAGGCATGTTTAAGATGTCGCTGTAAACCTTTTCCATCGGTGCGTATGCAGGTGCGCTTGGATTGTGATGTGACGGAAAAGGTTGGTGCTGAAGGTCTGCTTCGGGGCATGTGAAGCACCGTGCGCGAGGTCGTCAAAGTTCCTGTCCGCTTGTTGTAAGGAGAGCGTTTCGTTCTAACACTTCGGCTTGGATGGTTTGTTGTACCGTGCTACTTGCAGGATGCCCAAGGCGTTGGTGCCAGATGTCGTCGGAGGCGCGATGACCGGGCGAGCGTTGGTATATGTCGGTGTTGGAGAAGAACGCGACGACCGTGGCGGGACTTCGGCAGACTTCTCGTGTGATGGGCATAAGTTGATCTGCTTCGGTTGGTGGTCCTCGGATCATTAGTGGTTGTACTCGGCTGGGTCCTGCTGCTGCTGCTGCAGGTGATGGTTGGGAAGGGACGCTTGCTGGTACTTGTCTTTCTTGTTTGATGACTGCTAATGCTTGTGTTCTCTCTGCTGCAAGTATGGTGTTGGAGTACCAGAATCCGTCGGGGTTGAAGTCGGGGTCAAGATCCGGTGGGTGCGTCCAGGCTGCGAACGACACGATGCCATCGCTGTCGGCAGTACCGCGGTCGGGGACGAAGTCCAACACGAAGACGCCGGACTTCAGGAGAGCTCGACTGATGAAGAGACCGCCCTTCTCGTGGTAAAGACGAAATTCGTTGGAGACCGAGT